TTCCCAGGAGTGGCCGGCATACCAAAATTTCACCAAGAGCTCATCAATGACTCAGAAGGTCACAAAGGTTTTGGGATAATGTTCTGTGGACTAATGAGTCAAAAAGGTGGAACTTTTGACCCATCAGTCTACAGAGGGTGGAAGACATGGGTCCTGTTACATCTGATGTAAAGCTAACACTGTACTCCATCATAAGAACATCATCCCAACAGTCAAACATGGTGGTGGTAGTGTGATGGTCCGGGGCTGCTTTGTTTATGCAGGACCTGGACGACTTGTCATACGTGATGGACCCATAAATTCTGTTCTGTATCAGGAAATCCTGGAGGACAATGTCTGCTCATCAGTTTGTGACCTAAAGTTCAAGCGCAGTTGGGTTATGCAGCAGGACTATGACCCAAAGCACACAAGCATGTCCACGTCTGAATGGCTCAAAAGAAACGAAATGAAGGTCTTGGAGTGGCCGAGTCAAAGTCCTAACTTAAATCCCGTTGAGATGCAGTGGCAAGATCTTAAATGGGAAATTCACGCTAAAAACACTCCAATGTACCCGAATTAAAACAATTCTGCAAAGAAGAGGGGGCTAAAATTCCTCCACAGCGATGTAAACGACGCATCGCAAGTGATCAATTGTTTGACTGCAGCTGTTACTGCGACGGGTGGCACAACCAGTTATTGGGTTTAGGGGGCAATTACTTTTTCATATGAGTGATATAGGTTTTGAATAAATCTTCATCTTCAATAAATGGAATGACCATCTAAAAGCATTCATTTTGTGTTTACTCGTGTTGTCTTTATCTTCTATTAAAATTAGTTGGATGATCAGTAACATTTAATGAGACCTATAAACAAAAACAGAAGAAGTCGGTTGAGGACAGATACATTTTCACATCACTGTTGATCAACCAATTAATCAAATTAATTGGTAGCAATTAAATTAAACACACCCAGGCTTGATTACTGGCAGGCTTCTTGAATCTGAAAATCACTTAAATAGAACTTTCCAGCAATATTAAGTAAGCTTAAAGGACTCAACAAGCAGTACACTATGCCATGATAAAAACTAACTGCTTTAATATGAGTGTTCAAGTCTACATTCATAAGCTATTGACAGGACTAAACCTTCAACATCTCACTGCGGCAAGATGCTTGTTATTACTGCTTCACAGATCTTCCTCCAGGTTCAAGAAAGTAAAAAATCCTCTATGAATGGTTCATAATGCAAAAGAGCTGCATAAATGACAGAGCACTGACTGTATTTAGGGAAAATTAAAAAGGAGAATGATCTAGCTGAGGAAGTTTTTGGATCATGTGACTCTGTGAGGAAGTATAAAAGGGCTCTATGTGGGGCATCTGGCCTCCAGAGATTACTGGCTGCAACAGAGGATGGTGATCTCTCCTTGCTGCAGAGATATATCTCCTACATCTAGTCTACACACTCATTTATAGACAGAACTTTAAAGTGAGAGACTGGCAAAAATGTACACAATTTATACCTTACAAAGACTTGTTTGGTGTCTGTGGTTTACTTCACTGGAACTACAAGGCTAATGTAGTTAACAAGTAATGGAAGCTTATCCACAAATATCATGTGACTAGACACCGTGCTGTGCAAAAGAGACCACAATATGCTCAGAAAAGCATACTGTTTATCATGATAACAAAATGTATTTTGATAATTATAAAATATAATCAAATTGCCCAGCTCTATGTATGATAAGCTCAGAAAAGCATATTGTGATATTTATCATAGTAACAATAAAATATTGCCCACTTAGACTTCAGGTCACGCAACTTTGGATCATTTCTATTGGTCTACACATCATAACTATTTACACAGTGTAAATGGCAGCTGCCATTTGAAAATGGTGTATGCAATATTTTTTAAAAAGTTACATGAGAATAAAAGAAAAGAGACAAAGAAAGTAAGAGAGACACGCATTACTAAGCCATGGTAGTGTGTTTTAAGTACAGACACCTGCTCTGTGTGTGTGTGTGCATGTGTGTGTGTGTTAGCATGCTGTCAAACAGTAACAGTGTGTGACCATGTTTTGAGACAAAAGTCACAGCATGTGTGTGTGTATATATATGCTCCTGGCGTGTGCCTGCAGCACTGGAAGCAGCTGAGAATGCCAAGCTGAAAAACAAAAAACACAGCCCCCAACTAAAAGCCCTGTGGTAACCAGCACACTCTAGCTTGGTCTATGACCTTTGAACTTTACTGGCAGCTGGCTGAGGACTGTTTACCACACTGAATAGAAGGAGCCCTTGTCATAAGGTGGTTAGCAACGATTGGGTACTGGGTCACTTGGTAATGCATGCTAAAGCAATAAGCCACAAGAAGCTGTGCACTTTAGTGATTATCATGGTTAAGCAGTGTTGCCAGGCAAAGTTAACCTCTTTGACCATGGGTTTAAAAAATAAACAAATAAATAAATAATTAATTCACTAATGCAATGCCTCAAGTGGATTATTGAAAATATATAATAACATAAAATACACCAATGATCAACATATTATTTAACAACAAACACCTCTTTAACCAAGCAATGTAATTCCTGAAGTTTAGGCTATCGAAGATCATTCCATACATGTTTATGTATGTATGTGTGTGTGTGTGTGTGTGTGTGTGTGGTGTATATATATATATATATATATATATATATATATATATATAGATAGAGAGAGAGAGAGAGAGAGAGTTCCTAATACAGCATTCATTTGATGCATGTGGTCATGCGTCTGTCTATATATGATTATTTTGCAATTAACGATTTGCTAGCAGTCAGTAGATGCAGAACTATCCGTTTACAACAGCCATACAAAATGAGTCAACTCTACAATGCTAAATTACAGAAAAGAGATGCATTCTCATCTGATCAACTCAGAAAGGCTTTTCTTTGACCTCTATATTGGATGCAGCATCTTAGACAGAAGCAGGCCCTGCTGTGAAAAGATGCAGGATGTATGAACACGTTTCAAAGTGGATTCCATGCTTTATTAGTAGTTCAGCTAGAAGCTGAAGGCTGGAAGACTAGGCCATGTTTCAGAACACACATCACAGCCCCAGATCCAGGAAAATTCCAGTCCATTAATTTTACTCCATGCTCCGCTCTCTGGGGGTCCGCGGGAACTCATATGTTTTCACTTAAACTTAGCGTTATCCTCAAAAACCCAGTTCTATATGTCACACTCCTTCACCCCATCCATAGCTCTCTGCCCTCAGAAACCCGCCTCTAACTCTTTCCAACCACCATCTGTACCCTTCTTTGGGGTCCCTCACACAATTCCTCAACCATACAGAGCACTACTTTTTTGTCTAGTCTTAAGGCCCCTCGGATTGGTTAATCAGAGGGTAGAAACGTTTTTTTACTATCACACCTAGACCCTAATAAAATTGCAGTGGGACAGGAGAGTTTCTAGTGAGCTGCATTTTCTTCGAAGAGGAACTAACAGTGATGGAACGAGTCATTATTTCTGATTTCCTCTTACTCCAAGATACATGAAAACATGAGGCCTGCCACTAGACATCCACCAAAAAAGGTAATTTTCACCATGCCTCACCAACATCAACAATCAGCAGACATTATGCTAATTATTTCACACCACCTTTTTTCCTAAATCTCCTCTGAAGAATTTCACAGCACCTCAGCTCACACTGCCTGCCATTACTTTGAGCTATTTTTAACACTATGCACTGAGGCAGGCAAGATCAAATCAATCCTGCTCCAAGACTACATCTTCATCTTGAAGTTGCAACACAGTTAAAATGTATATTCTGAATGCCTCTACAAGGAAAAGCTGATTTCTTGTATAATACACAGCCCAGTTTTTATTCCTATCTTCTTATTTTCTTTTCTATTCCTTACATCTTTTATAGACATTGATCAAAACTGGCACCTTAGTCGTAGTCACCTGCACTTGATTTTAGTGGTGGCTGCAGAGCAGAGCTGTCTCTCTCAAATGGAGATCAAGCAGAAACCCAAACCTCATCTGAAACATGTTAGAAGAAATTTCAACGTAAGGCCAGTTTAGAGATTTAACATCTCACATCACTTAAAGGGAAGCCTTGTCTCATAACTGCATAAACAACTGGATGATCACTTAAGAAAAATAAGAAAACGTAATGTGACTCTTCAAGTATGTGTTATCGGCTACATTTTGCACATTTAAATGTAATTCTGCAGGTATATAAAAATATATATCTTTATTTGTCACTGGTGGCAGCCCAAAGTGCTTTAGGCAGGTGATAAAGCTCAACAGAAAGTAGGAGGTATTAATGTAAAATCATAAGACAATAACAGATCACATTAAAAAGATAAATACCAAAGAGACACAGAATTTTAATTAAATGCTAAGATCAAGAGATATGTTTTCAACTGTTTCTTAAAAGTGTGCACTGAGCATGACTGTCTAATAAAAGGTGGAACTCTACAGTTTAGAAGCAGAATAACTGAAAAGGCAGGTATCCACAGAAGGCCAGTATCTGTAGATCTAACATCACATGTTGGACATTCTCATCCCCAGCAGCACTGCTGTGCCTGACCCACGAGCATCAGCACAACACACAATAACAAGCAACCACCATGTCAGTGTCACTGCAGCACCGAGAATGATCCACCACCGGAATAATATCTGCTCTGTGGTGGTTCTGTGGAGGTCCTAACCACTGCAAACAGGGTCAAAGGCGGGGGGGTCTAAGCTATCATAGTATACAGTTACAGACAATGTCTGCTAAGCTTAAGCAACAACTTTTCAGCTAATTTAAACCATAATTAAATATATTTCCTCTTCAAAAACACAAATGTGGTACCAACTAAAAGTTTAGATTGTGTACTGGTAACAGTTTCTCTGCTTATTTCAATGAGCTACAAGTGAGAAATAATCTATATAAAATTGCACAATGTGACTTCTATGGGTTTAGATTGTTCGTATAGATTTCTCACACATACTAGTTTCTACTAGTTTCTAAAAGACAACTTACAAGAGAAACATCCTACCTTTGGTTCAGTTTTCTCCTTGCGTGGTCAAGTCAAAACGTTGGTCTACTAGCCGGCACAAAAGGTGAAACCTGGGTATGAACAGACAGAGGAAACACAGAGTTCATACTTGGTATAGAAACTAGATGACCAATCACATACAGAACAAAGCAGCACATTGAACTGCTTTTAGTTTAGATCGATTCAGCTGCGTGAGGCAGAAATGCTGTGTAAGCACACACTCGCGTGCACACAGCCAAACACACACAAATCACAAGTATGTGCTGTGGCAGCTGTGTGCGCGTGTGTGCGAATCCTTTGAATTATACACCCACTCCCACACACCGAGCTCTGCCAGAGGAGGAGTACTTCTAAAAAGAAAACAAATTTCCTCTTACAGCTCAACCTGGAATTTGTAATTTCTGAGTAATTTAAGAGTTGAGTCAGTAGATGACTGGCTTTCACAGTCAACCTACTCCCGTCAGACAGGCACCTAATTAAGAGTCATACAGTTCTTCACCTACACATCAATCATAGCCTGAATCCAGCTGGTAAGTGACAAAGCACAGGCTGTACGTGCATGTTTGCATTTTGTTTTTGTGCATTTTCAGGACAAAAATTTGATAACTTTGCAGGAAAACTGGAAACTAACTAACCTACAATGACTAGACCAACACAAGTAATCAAAGAGCACCTATAACGACACTTCTAAGCCTAATGCAAGAAACTTTTGTTCAACATGGAAACAAGCGGAGATTTGAGCGCAAAGTATGAATCAACTTCTGTGCGTGAAATCAAGCGCCGGCCTACCAGCATCTCATTAAATAAATGTTACATTTCTCTGTTACACAAATCCACAATTTGATTTCTGTTTTAATAAATGTTCATGTATCAGCATGAAAAACATACACAAAAAATATTGGATATCAGCATCAGGCCACAATTCGTATCCCTATCGTATCGTATCCCATATCGTGCATCCCTTGTATTCTTACATGTGGGACATATGTCTGACCCTCCCATTCTAACATTGTATAAAAACAAATCTCTGTGTGTGCGTCACACAAAAACCAGACCACAGCTGCACACTGGGGCACAACTGCGCAAGCCGTCTGTCCGCACGGCAGCCGGAGTGTGTTTGCGCGCATGTGTGTCTTGCATGACAAAGAGACTTCTCACCAAGTTGCTCACCATGTGGTCTTTTGTAAACACACTCATTTGATCCCAATTTAGCTTCAGAGCACTAGAGCCAGCAAAATGGAGCTTAGTGGGCAAACAAGTTTTTCCGTTTTCCAAAAATAGTCAGGGAAAGAAGAATTAGTTGATTCAACAGCATCTATAAAAGGAGATGCAGATGACAATTCAGCACAGACAAATGTGTGTGTTTAAGAGAGACAGTGAGTCAATACAAAAATCCCCTCACTGAACTAAAACAAAGGGAAAGGTGACCTGACGCGGGTAACTATGGCAACACTCAGGACTAAACCGAATGAAGGTCTGTGGGTCAAACCCGTGGTGTGTATAATATATGTGTATAATACATGGCATTGGGCTGGCAGGACGCCAGAGACATACAGCCTCTGTGATATCATTCACCACTTCATGAAGGAGAAAGTGGGAAGAAAAGGAGTTCACTACCACAGTATAAAGTACACAGACAGACCTACAGACAGACCTACAGACAGACCTACAGACAGATAGACACCACCCTTCTTTTATTTAATTTCCAGCCAAAATGGTCATGAAGTCAATTTCCAAGTGATATTTCTGATTAGAACAAAGAAAATCCACTTGCACAAAGGAGCGGAAAGCAGATGTTTCCAAAACTAGAGTTAAAAAAAAATTACATACAGAAATCCGGCCTCCTAACAACCGTACAAGACCTGGTAGACCACCAGAACTCTCACCATCAGGTAAACAGTACTTAAAGTTTTTGTCTTTGAAAGGTGGGGGCTGTTTCTGTCCATCCTACTCAACACTACGAGTCTTAAAGGATGTGTAGCTGTGAAGAACACGTTATCAATAAAAGAAAATTTGAAAATCGAATAAAGAAGCTGCTTGATGTTCTCAGCATAGTGGACTGACCGCCCCAGAGTTCAGACCTCAACATCACTGAATCTGTTTTGGATTACTTGAATTGTGAGAAGAAGGAAATGCAACAAACCTCTAAGACTGAACTTTGGAGGTGTGAAAAATATCCCCAGAGATTTCTAAGAAAAACTGTTAGCAAGTGTCCTGAAAAAAAGCTGTCCCCTGTCCAAAATTTTGAATATTTTTCTAATAATGCTTTACAAATTTACCAAACTGACTGAAAAGCCCATCCCTTCTTGAAAGTACAGCACTTTAAACAAGAAACAACAGTATGTAAACTCCAACCTAAACTAAGCAGGCAGAACGAGACGTGCTAACATTCTGCAAAGCTTACCGACATCGCAAAAGCTGCTGAAGAATAATGCATTTATGGGCGCAGCTAAAGTCCCTCTAGGAGGAGTTAGACAATTTTACAGAAATTAGAAGACACTTAAAAGAGACACAAACAAAAATATGGATTTACAAATGTGTTCTTGAATGACCAAATATTTACATATGACGTAACTTGAGGCAGTCATTTTCGAGGTTTTTTAATGTGCAAGTGAATATTATAAACAGGTATGTAGGGGTGGACGATATGTCAAAAACAACAGGATACTTCAAGACATTTTCATGATAAATGATACTCAATACATATCACAATATTGAGGTCGCTCTGAGGTTTACTGCAGCTTGGAACAGATAAAAATACACAAGTAGCGCCACATTAAACAATATCATAAACCTATTAATACAATGAACTTAATCCGATTAAACAGGACTAATTATGTTCTTTTTGTAATGACACATGCAGTTGAACATTGCTACTTGTTGTACTGACATCAAGCTTTTGCCCACCCCTTACAGTTATGTCCTGCTTCAGATTAAATAATGGGAACAGCACTAAGAACATCACCATTATTTCTAGAAAAATAACAATATTTTCCACAACCAACAATTTCAGACTGCTGGTAAATCAATGCCATAAAGCGGCAAGGCTTCACATCAATACCTCTACAATACCTCAGGCTATAGATTCTACAGCTCTGTGGTTTCATCTCATTTTGAAACCATACTCCTCTCCTCTTCCCTCTCTTTCTCCTTGTCCCACACTCACACACACACACACACACAAACACACACACACACACACACAGTGAATGTGTGCAATAGACAAAAAGTTTGACACTACACTATGCAGTGTGTTTGTCCCCATCTGCCCTCTTATTACTGCCCAGAAGGCAGAAAGGACTTCCAACACTACAATAACATAAAACAAATGACATCACTTTAGGTGTCAGATTACCCAGCGATGCAACCTAGCAGGTGTTCTCCATGAACTCTGGGAGAAGCCTAACTAACAAAAAGGAGGATATCCAAAACAAATCAATAAGACCAAAGTTCTGAACACTTTAAAATAAAATAAAAGATGTAATTAGATGTATAGCACCATATACCACATGAAAAATGAAGGGATTTCACTTCACTGTGTTAACTAGTTAATGTGTTTTAAGCAATTCCAATGTTTTAAGTAACTGGCAGCCAAATCAACCAAACCACCAATTAAATTAGATCAAAAAAGTCAATACTAAACACTTTAAAAAAGGTCATTTTAAAAGTTGCCAAGAGTGCCACATTAAACAGATTATAAATTAAGTGATTTTATAGTATGAACTGGCAGCCTAGCATGTCTTATTTAAATTGTGTGGCTGTAATATCTATGAAAAGATATAGGATTGGACAGTCCATACTCAGTTCTCTTATCATGGGACAAAAAATGGACCAGGACATCCCTATTTCTCTTTATTAACTCAGGTAAACCCAAGTTGTACAACTGATAGTAAAGAGCTATATAGCTGCTAAGATATCTACATGTTACAAGAAAATATCAACAAATGAAAAAAATGGCTGCAGGAACTGCAAACAAATTGATCTCTTTGTCCTTGAATTAAAAGAAGTCCTTAGTACTGTATTTGGCTAGATAAGAGTGAGGGAGCAGGAGGATGTGAGAGGAGCATATAGAACAGAAAAAAGGAGGACTGTAACAGACAAACCAGCTGAGAACCACATGAGGGTCACACAAGACCTCAAGCAGTCTTCCAGAGAACATAAAAGCACAAAACCCACATACATCTCCTGCACAAACACACACACACACACAAACACACACACACACAAACACACACACACACACACATACACACACACACACACACATATACACACACACACATATACACACACACACATATACACACACACACACACACACATATACACACACACACACACACACACACACACACAACACAACACAACTAGTACTCTGCTTGGCAGGGATCTTGCCAGGTGTGTCCGTCAACAAGCCCATTTCCTGCTGAGACCACACCTGTGGCGGAAGCCAAAGCCCAACTTCCTGCGTAGACAGGAAGTGGGGGTGCCACAGAAGCCTAGCAGACATGGTGGAGGAGGAGATGTCGGAGGAAACCCCATTAGTGAATCAAAACAGCACTAAATAACAGAGAGGAGAACTGTTCTGTAGTCTGAAAGACAGAACTTACGAGTGAGAGCGAGACAGGGAGAGAGAGAGAGGGAGAGGGAGAGAGAGAGAGAGAGAGAGAAATAAAGAAAGACAGAAAGAAAGAACAGACTTACTGAGGAGGTGGGGCGAAGTGAGAGAGTACAGTGGGTTTCTCTCACATTAGCAGTGGACGCGGCTCTCCAGAGCCAGCAGATGGCCACTTATTGATTTACAGAGTGAGGAGAGAAGCTGCACTCTCCACAGTGAGTCAGCACAAACTGAGGCAGGAAAGCTAATCAAAACTCAATCCTACCATGAAAAGATGAAATGCTCCCTCACAAAAACAAACTTGCATTTGTAGTGTACCGGTACTGCACTGTACACAAATAAACAACAGCTTTCATCTTCTTACCTAAGAGCTGTACATATTGATCTCTCACAGTCTGTGTCTGGGATAAGATTAATCAAATCATAGAAGGTGGTACTGAGAGTACACGCCCA